CGCACCTGCTGCCTTCCTTAGATGTGGTAGCCATCTCTCAGGCTCCCTCTCCGGAACCGAACCCAGATTCCCCGTTACCCATCAGAGCCACGGTGTAAGTGCAGCCTAATACACTCCTAAACAGCATATTTTAGAGATATTTGTTCGCTCTCGGGCACGCTCAAAATCTTATGGATCGCGCGCCTGGGTCTCTGATCACTTAGACGGGACCTGCGATCTTCCCTCCCTTCCGGAACCCCACGCAAATGACAGGGGGTGAGGACTCCATGGCCCCCTTGGGATCCGCCCATGATTGTGACATGTGTTTTGTGGTACCAATGCCTGTCGAGGATTTTTGGAGAGGGAAGCGGGAGGGGGTACTACTGCAGCCCTGGTAGTACCTGGTGGTACAATTTTATTTTGCTAATTTTGCTAATACACATGCTGGTTTGGAAAAACCACGGACAATGGGGTACTTGGACTTCCTTTTGAGTAATAAGACCTGCCCCCCCCCCCTCCCGCCGTCCCAAAAGACCCCGTTACCAAAAAACATCCTTTCAGACCCAGCGAACGCAGAACAACCGAAACATCACCACACTGGCAGGTTTTGAAAAACAGCGTCGTAACGCTATGGCTTGAAGCGCTGTCGTAATACTGGCGCCATTACAGAGCACTAGCCAGGGTAGAGGGGGGGGGGGGGGCAGGCTAGGAGAGAGGGTGAATCAGGGGCGTTCGGCTTCGTAACTTTCCATGCAATACCATAAGCTAATCTTTTTTCAATGCTGAGACTGAAGTCACCTAAGTTCCTCCTAACGCTCTTCTTTCCGCATGGGTAGTATATGCCGGACAGTGTGAATAAAAAGAAAACTAGGAATTTCTGCGCTGTGTCACTAGCAAAAACTTTCAGAAAGCCCAAACTCTTTAACCGAAGAACATAAAGGCTCTTTCGGGCGGCACCACCTGGAAAGAGACATCCTGCTCAATGATATTTATATCAAACCTCCTACCTATGGGGCTGAAACGCATACAAATGCCCTCTGTTCCCCCAATCTGAAGCTGGCGACGCCGCATGGTCTGGGGGGGGGGGGGGGGGTATTTCTACACAACGGTTGCTGCATGCATTATATTGATGATGCATGCACGGATAATGTATGTACAGCTGAATCTCCTTGTAAAGACAGTACGTATATTACTCCAGCTGCCAATGCTTATTGCGCCTTTGCAGGAAATACTCGGTGCAAACCTCAGCCACGCGCAGTTCTTTTCGCCAATGGGGCGGAAAAAGTGTCATTAAATATTTTATCGACTGCTTAGAGCTGGAGAGATGACTAGCGGTCAGAATGTTATAAAGCTGAGGCTGTTAAGCCCATCAGGCGAAACGTATTTCACCTGATTGGCCGCCATTCACTCAGTCCGCGGTATGGCTCAGTCCGGGGCGATACGAGATCGCCAATAACATGAAACCAGTCGCGTCTCGGTGGTTATGAATCTGCCCAGCAAACGTACGTGCCTGCTGAGTGGCAGTGGTGCTGCCATGAGGCGGAATATCATCTCTCGGTTTACTCGTGCGTTGGGAAATGGACACGTGCCCACGAGCGAGATGAATGTCGCCGCCAAGACCAGAGGCGGCGGGGGGGGGGGGGAGGGGCTTGATGGTCGAGATCAGTGGTTGATGCATGCAGGCGGCGGGGCGAGTTGTCGGTCAGGGGCCGACAGTGCTTAACAGGGGACCTCGTGTCGACGAATGGTCCAAGTCAGACAGGTGCCGTACTCGAGGGCTTGAGGGCGGGAGGGGGGGGGGGGGGGGGCGGGAGCAAGCGGGGCTCAAAATCTCCTTCAGGACCAAAGATCAAGTGCCATGAGTGGAAGGCTGCGAAGCGTCCGAAGGTCACTTTAGTGGCTGCAGGTCACCTTAGGACCCCGCCCGTGGGGTCGTGACCTCAGATGCGGTTCATTTGTCCCGATAGGTCATTAGGTCAGAGCGCCTGGCTTCCGATCCATCCACCTAGGGCGGGATGGGTTCAAGTCGCTTTAGTCGATCGCGATTTGCCCTTGACAGTTATGGCATGCGGCCAGTGGCAGCGGCCGCGCAAAATGTCAGGTGACGTCAGAGGACAGGACGGAAAGTACAGGGGATTGCGGCACGTATCAAACCATCGCCGCCAATTCTGCCGTTGACCTAGAGCGACACGATCGGCTGGCAAGTTTGTGAGATTTCACAGCACAAGCTGCTTAACAAACACTCTGAGCCCTGATCCCAGAAACTTGTGCGTTCAAAAAGGTTCGGATTAAATATTTCAAACTGGTCAGTCGGAGCCTCTTGCATTAATTAGGGACCCCTGGAACAATGCAGGCCTCTGCTCAGGCCAGAGACCACCGACACCGAAAGACCGGCTCCGTGTTAGTCTCGACCCTGTACGCCCATTTTCCAAGCAGAAACAAGGCCCTAAGAACAACCGGCCCGTGATTCATATAGGTCGGGGCGCGTGCAACAGTCAGGTTAGGGCCCACAATGTCTAACAGGGGGTTGTGTATCGGTAAGGAGCCCCGAGTGGGCAAGGGAAGCATTTGCTGAACAAGGACAGGGACGGGACACCGGACGGCAGAGGGCCTCTTGCGTTGGTCGGGCCTTCTGACGATGGAAGGAGATACGAGAGCTTATGATGGCAGTCCACAATAAAACGATGGAAGGGCCCTGTGTCAGTCAAGGCCCCAGCACTCAACGGGGGCCTCTACCCCATTTCAACCAAAGGACCATTAAGCGAACCTGGAGTCTCTGTGACAGATATTAAACTGCCTGCAATGATGAACACTCTTGCTGTGTATGAGGGCTTTTGCGTCGATCCGGTGCCAACTGTGCGGGTCAAAGGGACTTCCGCGTCAAAGAGTGGACTGATGCATGATGCATCCCTGTAAGGGCCGCCTGATCGGCCGACCAAGGAACCCCGCCTCCGTGTCGCCAGAATGGCAGCCGTTGAGTACCCCACGCTGGGACGGAATGGACCTCCAGACCTTGACCAGAAACGACGTGCCCCTTGTGTTTAACCCCCGGGCTCCTTGCAAACAATAAGTGTGGGATTTCATAAGTGTCCAATCAAGTGGATTGCAGCGACGTCAAAAATGAAGACGGCGAACCGATGTTTGCCCGAAGACGTCCATCGTTTTACAGAATCGACTAGTGAAACAAACGTATAAAAAGTTTTGGGCCTGAACGCTCGAAGTCTCAGGAGCAGGAGTCACGAGGGTCATGGTTGCAGCTCCCATAAAACCAACCGACGTTGACCGCTGCAGATGACACCAGTCGGCGGGCGCTGTGCGCGCCAGAAACGCCGTAGTGAAATAATACTTCTGAAAGTCTTTCAAAATCAACTTGTACCGTTCAAAGATTTGCTAGGACGTATATGCCACCTTTATGATTTGAGTCTGTCTTCTGAACAGATGAACAGCTACAGCAACACCAAAATTAGGCTTTTTGATTGTGCTCTTTCAGTTCCACTATCAAATTTCGGTACTAGTTCTGGGTGCTGCAAATGCTAATTCGTTCCAGTTTTCAGTCTAAAAATCGCACGGCCGAAACACACGCACAGACTACCCACTTAACGCAAGAACTGATGTCCTAAATCATTCACAGGTACTTTTTCAGTCACATCACTATTTTCATCCGCCATCGCCACCTAATGATCCATAAGGCCAACGTCGCGCTGCCCATGAAAGTTGCAACGCCAGGCGTCGAGGTTTCTATTTCTGAGACCTGAGAGCGCACATGTTAAACATCTTGTTAACTAATTTTTCTTCCAATACAGCCCTCACAGAATGCTGCATGTTTCCAGACAGACAAAGTGTGGTCATATCGGGTGATTTTTGTTGAGGGGGGAAGGGGGAGTCTCTCTTACCATCAGGGGCCTTTCATTCATTTTGTGCCCCCCACTCCCCTACCAAGGCTCTGGATGCGCCGCTGGTTCGGGTAGCTAGGAAGTGTCTGCTTTCAGTTAAGACAGTCTCTCCATTATTAGGCTCTCGGGACCAAGGAAAATGGTGCTCCTGGACGGGGTACGTCAGCGACCTCTGCTTATATCTGCCTGTATGAGCCCGACGCCTCCTCAGGAGCGCCGTCCTTCTCCTGATCTGTCTCCTGGTCTGTCTTTTTAAAGCAGTCCGGTAGGGAGATCCTTTTTGACATTTCTCCTTTGCCGCTCTCTCGGACCCACCATTTCGTTTTAGTTCAACGCAGTTTAGTCTCTCAGATATTGCAAGCAGCATTCGAAAACAATGTATGCGTTTAGTGTTCTCAATGACCATGACGATCTGTGCAGACCGCCAACAGCCGCTGAAATGGTCAGCGTTGCTATTGCGGCTGTTCACGCCCTGGCCAGTTGGCGTCTCAGAGCTTAGGGCTGTCTTTGATTTTTCCAGTCCAGATACGCACCAAGGTGGGCTCGATATCAGAGCTCCCCGAATTCGTGATCAGAAGAGGCCCCAGCTTCCTTCTGGTTCAGGCCCCTATGCTCCGCAGCACCACAAGACGCCTTGCATCCAGATCTTTTGATTGGCATATCCCGTTCGCTGCCTGGCAAGTATAGTTCGCGGAGATAGTGGTCTAGGCATGCTCGTCCCGCCGATGGTCACGGTATGAGAGGAGCCTTTTTTCACCGGAGGCAGCGGCCGCGACCGCCCCCCGCGCGCTCTGCTGGCCGGCCGGCGAGCGACACGTCCCCTGATTGGTCGGCGCTCCGCTCCCAGCCAACCCGATTGGTCGAGCGCCCGTGTGCCTTACACCTGATTAGCCGCCGAGCACGGTGATTTATCAAAGCCAGCCTTCCGGGGCCGGCGACGTATACGCGGGAAAGAACGGCACCTAGCATCAGCTTAGGCCACATCAAAGTGCCCTTCTTGCACGCCATTGGCGAGATAACATCCTGCCCTGATTGCTCTCCTTTGCCCGTAAGCTATTGGCTCTTGGAGACTTCTGAACGCTACCCGGCTTGCCAGTCGTTATTGGCCGCGCGAGTGGGGTCCCGGCGCCGATCGCAGCGCTCGTTCCACCGCTCTTCCGCAGCCTCTGCGCCGGCCAACCGGCCCTACCGCGCCATGGAGACGTGCGTCCTGCTGCCGCAGGAGTTCTCGCTGGTGCTGACGCCGGGCCGCGGCGGCGACGCCAAGTCGCCCGAGTCCGACGTCCAGGTCTGGAGCAACGCCCGGATTCCGCAGGGCGTGCGCGTGTACCCGTTCCAGGGCACGGTGCGCCTGGACAAGCTGGAGGTGTACGGCTACCTCAGCCCGACAGATGTGAGTACGCGCCGTGGCGGGCCGACCCGGGCGTGGCCTCTCCCACGCCCCGCTGGTGTGCTCAGGCTCGATAGTAGTCGGATGTGTAGCCGACCTGGGACCACGCTTGCATAAGTCGTTTTGGAGCATGCCGACCTGCATGACGAGCGGTCCCAGATTGTGCAAGCTCTAGGAGCTGGAGGCTGGTCCCACGGCAGTCTGGACCGGCCGTCATCCGGGGCAGCTTCGAACTCGCGTGTCTCGCTGCATCTCCTCACAATGCACTGCTCTAGCTGTTAACTGGTTCTCAACGGCCAGACGCGCACACAGCGTGTTCGTACGGCGGCGTCCCGACCTCGAAGGGACCCCAACAGAACGACAGACGGGCCCCTGCGTGGGGCGCTTCAGGGGCCCGCTGCCGCGTATCCTTACCTTGTCTTCCTCGAGATCTACTAGTGTTATGTTTAGGCATGCTGCGGTGAACAATGTGAATTCTGGCTCCTTTCGACGCTCCTTTTATGCGTTTTTTCTCCATGCATAGAACCCAGTTTTGCTGGATAGCGGCATAGACCCCCCGTGACATCCCCTGTGTGTGCCTCTGAGCACGTCCGATACAATCCAGACCGGAGGACGCTCAACACCTGGGTACATCTGATTTCAAACCGTTGAGGTGGCTGAGGTGCTGCTGGCAGCCAGAGCTACATTAAAAGGCCATCCAAAACTGGATCTGCACGCAGAATTGGCCCGATCAGATACAAACGCGTTGGAGCGGCCTGCAGGTTGGGGCAGGGACTGGAGCAGCGAGCGGCTGCAGGTTGGGGCAGGGGCCGGAGTAGCGAGCGGCCGCAGGTTGTGGCAGAGGCCGGAGTAAGCGAGCAGCTGCAGGTTGGGGCAGGGGCCGAGTAGCGAGCGGCTGCAGGTTGGGGCAGAGACCGGAGTATCGAGCGGCTGCAGGTTGGGGCAGGGACCGGAGTATCGAGCGGCTGCAGGTTGGGGCAGGGGCCGGAGTAGCGAGCGGCTGCAGGTTGGGGCAGGGACCGGAGCTGCGAGTGGAGTGCTGAACTCTCTCCCGGACGGGACACAGCGGCCCTGCCGCCCGCCGACGCCACGCGCCTCGAGTTCGGGACATCCGCCCTGGTCCGTGACGTTTGTCCCAGCTGGTGTCTCCCTGCTCGTGTAGAGACACATGTCGAGCGAGAAAACTTGGCAGGGAAGCCGTATGCCCCTTGTCGCGTCCTAAGCAGCTCGAGCACAGGCCTATCGTCCATCACAGTATCTCAGGCCGCCGTCTGGCGGCAATCGTTCCTCCCGAACGAATCCGTCAGGTACGTGAGGAGACTCAAGGACAAGCCCGACTCGGCGTTGTCCGCCAATTTTACAGAGTCACTTCAACACAAGTTTCCTCTTCTGACGACCGCTCTTTTTCGGCACGGCCCACTTCGAGAGTCACTTGTCTGTTTACCGATAGATGCTACTCGCTCTGTCATGGTACGACCCAACTATGCTAACATCCGTGGGCCTGGGAAAGCCTGAAATAGCCTGAGAATATAACCGGATGTGCTACAGTCTCAGGGTTAAATATTCGCGCCCACTGCCTGAGATTTTAGGGTCAAATTTTCACACATAGTATCGCAAACCTTTGACAGAACTCTACCCAATCTATTTCATTGTTATTTATGCTACCGAGAGCCTGTGACCCAAACTAACTCATTTTTGCGGACCTCTGAGGTTTACTCCCGGGGTAGCACAGGATTATATCACGCAGATTATATATATATATATATATATATATATATATATATATATATATATATCTGTGTGTGTGTGTGTGTGTGTGTGTGTGTTTGTCATATTAGCACAGCAAAACTTCCGCACTTGCCAGTCTCATTACAAATCATGCATGCGCGCATTATCGTCAGAACCATGTTTTTCACGCACTTGCACAAGAGAGGCTCGTCATTAGACTGGTCAGTAGTCAATGAGAAGGCCTCGTTGCGATGGGCTCCTCCGTTTTACGTCCGTGCCAGTGTGAGCTCCGTCCTTTTGCATTATCGATGTAAAAACAACGGAATTTGTCTGCATGGGTGCCTTATGACAAACGATGAACACGTGGATAGGATGTTTTTCAATCCACGAAGCCAACAGCATAAATACGATCCGACCATAAGTGGATTTGGTGGACGTTATTGTACCGGAGCGTGTGCATGAGGCCGGAAACTGAAAGTGAGACAGCGGTGAGCTAGAGGAGGAAAAGACCGTCCGAAGACGCAGCCTCTTACTTGCCGATGTTTTTGGTGCTTCTAGTGAGCGATTCGAGAGAGCGAGTGACTCCAAAGGTGGGAGTGCCAAATTCCGTCTCGAGGTCGGTTTTTTCGTGCATCGCCATATGTTAAAGTCACAAGTAGAAGGGTCATGGTCCTTGTCCCCAGCCCTGCTATACGGTTCCTGGGCCCATAATTTGGGAGGTCATTTCAGCTTGTTATGGGGAGCAGCTAGACAATACAGAGCCCGAGGCGCTCCCCGAGAAAGATTCAAAGATAGTGAGCAGAACGAGGATAGGCACACTGTGTGGTATCAGATTTGTGCTCAATTGCAATGGAATCAAACCGGGAAACGATTCGGTAATCTAGGAATTTGATCTAGCTCAAAATACGCCAACTATATGCTTCACACGATCTAGATCGCTGGCGATGTCATGCTTACCGGGATGTTCAATTTGTCAACTCCCGTCACAGGACGTTTATGATTTCCGACGGCGTGGGAATAGGATTTAGTGTTAGCCTCCATCGGGTCTTACCTTCCAGGCAATTTAGCATTTAGCCATATGACGCGACATGAAAACAAATGAAATACCATGATGCTCTTGTAAGCGTATGTCTGGCTTATCAAATGTGACACTTTGCAGTGATCCTCAAATCTAGCCAGCCTCCGTGCTCAGTGTCACGTCACAGGAGCAGCCGACACGCTCCTACGCTCTGCTGGCTTTTAATGCATTCATCGAAATGAGAGTTGAAAGACAGGGGAAAACACGACATACGATGGGGCTTTGTAAAGAGATAAAGTTGGGTGGATTTGATAAAGGTAAAATGCGGAGAAGAAAATGGGAGAACATCCCGCAGTGTGGGTTTGACGACCATTTGACCACTCCAAGCCCAGCCAGTGGCATGGGGGGATAATAGGACAGCGGGCGGTTATGATATTGAGATCATCAGTTATAAGTAAAATAGGGATAAAGATGTGGAGGAGGGTTTTATATTCCGTACTTGTCAATCACGTCGGAGCTTATGTACATTGTACACTGTGGATGTGATAAGAAATGGGCTGAAGGTACATGCTTTAATCATGAAGCGCAAAGGTGAGCAACAAAATACAAGGTCAGGTGAATGAATCGTGCCGTTAGTTTCGCGTCTTGTTTTTGCACTCGGCTGGACCAGCGAGTCGCTTGTAGGTATTGGACGTGGTGGCGATTCCACCCCTTCAATGTGTACTTTTTCAAAAGCCTTAAGTTTCCAGATGAAACCTTTTGGCTCAATTTTTGTCATTTTTCAGAGAATATTTTGCCAAACACGAGCTGAACGACGATATACGCGAATATCTTATCACTTCAGGTTGTGTAACAGCTCTCTGGTATTGTATGGCACTCATGTAATTCGATTCTGAAGACCTTGCATCTATAATGACAAAAAATACAAGCTCGAAAAGACGCGAATTAACTAAGGGAACTGCTTCAAGAGCTAGGCTCTCCTATACACAGTATCATCAGTCAGCTGCCGTCAGAAGGCGAGCCGTGATAACTAACTTGTGGTGAAGTGGTGACTATTGCGCATAAAGCGAAGCTTAAATGACCACTAGCCGTGATTTTTAAAAACTTATTCATTAGCATTATATAGGTAGCTATGTGTTCGGTCAATGTATCAGTTAAGTTTATTCCCAGTGTCAAGACAATTGACGGGGCCTGCGCATAATCCATGTGATATGGACAGCGCCAGCTTGCTGCTTGCCTGACTGCGTCACGCTCCAGACAATCAGCCCGCGCCTATTTCCAAAAAAATTAGCATGGCGCTAAGCTCCAAGGCGGCTGTTGCATTGCCTGAAGCAAAAACAGCTTTGGAAATTTTCTTGCACTCGACTTCGTGTTCGCCATTTTGCAAATGTGGTGAATGCGCTAGCAGACTGGCTTAGAACTAAACAGAAGACGGATATTCAGCGGAATTAAGTCACGCGTGACCTAACAGCTTAACTTTTAAATTTATGAAAACAACAAGTTCGATGTTTTACCTAGAATATCAGAGGAGTGTGGACAGAAGCATAGCTTTGCAAAATACGTCGGGCAGGAAGGGGCTAAGGAATGAAAGGTTGCACAACCTACCCCAAAATACGCCAAAAATGTTTCCCTCCTGTTTGGCCCACTTTCTTTTCAATGTTTGGGATGGGGAGCTGCAGCCCACCCAACTGAATAGGGTCTACACCCCTGGATGTGAACAATTGAAGGTTGGATATAATAACACTGAAAAGCTGTGGAGACAGAAACTGGTGGTATGGATGTTAAAAGCAAAATAGTACATTTCCTTACATGCAAGATATCATAATCCTGCACGCAGTCAACGGTCTGTCACTTGAAATTTGAAGGACAAAGAACGTGGAGGGGAAAGGGGACTGCTTCCAATTATCCACCTGCCCAACCTTCCTGCTTCACTTACTAAAACATTGCAGTCTTTTAATAGCTATATATGGAGATTGCAAGCTTTGCAATGCAGCTATATGATTGACAGTGTGCAAGCGTGACTCATCTTTTAATGCAGTTACCGCTCAAATAATTGAATGCTGCCAGCCCCGTTAAACAGCAATGCAGCTAGTGTATGTTTGGATACAATTGGATAGCAAGCAATATTGGGTACCTCATTTGCTCGAGCATTGGTCAGCTATGGCTAAAATCAACCTTGGTTATAAACTTCGTTGTAAATCCATTGCTTAACTCGTCTTCAGCTCCGATAGCCCGGTGGTGCGGTGCTAATCTAACT